TGCATATTTTCAGCATAAAACTGGAATCTTTTTCCATTTTAACCTAAATGCTGCACTGTGAAGATATTTAAATTGTGTCTTTGTCATTATTTTATACACAAAACCACCCCATTCAAAGTAAATTAGGTTTATTATAGATTCTCCACAACCCAGCAGTCAGAATCGAACTACTATGTTTGAGCTATTACCTAATTTAATTCCTTTATTAAACCGGGCACCAAAATAACACTTGCAAAAAAACCTTGTTGATTAATTCCCTCCACTGCATTTTTTTTTTAAAAAAATGATTAGCGTATTGAGATAAAAAAAAATTCAGAAAATACACCCACACTGAAGCAGAAAAATATATTACATTTAGATTGATTTGAATCTGAATCTAAACCTAATAGAGCCAAACCATTCGATCACATATCACAGTCTCAGAGACCAGCTGTCACTCATTTACTACTAATTTGCCTTTGCACAACAAAAATAGTATAAATAAATAAAAGGCTTGTATTTGAATCATTATTACTGAACAACATAATTAGTATTCATCCATGGATAAAAATTGTAGAGAAAAAGGGACAAACTTTTGCCAGCAAACAAGCCTGGAGACATAAAAGCCCACATTAGCGCATAAAACACAGCACGGAAATAGATACCAGTGACTAATTTTTCACCGCTATTGTTATGCGGTTCCCTCAAACTTTGGAGAGGTCCTTTGTGTTATTCAAGAAGATATTGATCAACATTACTGACACGCAAGATCCTGTGGCAAAAGAACACTGTGTACAAAGATCTGTTTTGCCACTCCATTTATACATGTGTATCCCCAGCGGTGAATGGTTCCATGCGCTGATTATTAGAGGCACTTCTTGATACTTTTGGTCCTTTTTTGGTAAAAAACAATCCAGCTTACCGTTATTCTTTTATTGCTTTATGTTGTAACCGTCCACATGGTTTGACAACTGAGTGGTTAATGCAGAATAATATTATTACTGTCGAGATGGCCCTTGCTGGATTCTGGGAACACAGAGGCACTAAAATTCAAGATTATGAAGACTTCATGCTTACTGTAAGTAGGGCCGTCAATTAATTAAACCATTTATGGTTGTAGTTAGTGATGCAGCGAAATTTCGGCAACCGAAAAGGTGATGATTAGTTAGCGATTCTCCAATGGCTGATAAGATACAAGTACATGTTATATATGCAACCTCCACAAACACAATAATTTACCATGATGACGATGATAAATTAAAATATAAAAACTACCGAAAACACTGATTCACGACCGCTCTTACTGACTTTTTTTTTTTAAATTCGATGCCACAAAAACAAGAGGTTTTACATATTCACAATATCACATTAACATTAGCTGCCAGGAAATAAAAAATACAAAAAAAGGTTTTACATAAAATCCTGTGCTTTCAAAGCATTACATGTTTCCATTGCTTTTTTGTTTTTAGTTTGTTTGTTCCAAAAGATGTACATATAATGTGAAGTCATTTATAAAACGTGAAAAAAAGCCCAATTCTTTTTATGTATATGGTATTTTCCTAATAAAACAAATAACTGTATAATATGTTGTTCTTTACATTCCAAATTGTCATTCTGAGTATAAAAAAGCAAATTTACCCGCTTGTACTGAATACAAACCTATCTGCGCTGCTGAGGCTCCCTCCCTCTGGTGACGTAAAATGACGCGATGTTGAAAAAAAAAACGGTTTTTACGAGCAGTCAAAGAAACGCTCACTTTATCTACTAAATTTGTGCCCTTATGTAGTTTTAAAACATTTTAAATCCTGCATTACCTTTTCATATGGTATTTTCATACAAGGTTATATATTAATTTCGATTTTTTTTTTACCTGCAATATGCTCTTTAACAATTATTTTGTACCATCCAACCACACCTACCATCCAATAATCGCAGTAAGCGATTATTAATGCGATTATGCATAACAAAGCCTAGTGCTTTGTTACTTTTGATATGAAACAAAGTCTGAGCTTTCAAAAGCTGTCAGTTTTATAACAAAATTCAAACAATAAATTTGGTTTTGATGCTCTTTAATGTGGCGTGACGGATCACTCTCTTCCACTTTACTACTAGTTATAGCACAAAATAAACATGAATGAAAATTAGAAGGAATGTTGAAAGAAACAACTGCAGCTTACTCTCATGTAATCCCTCAATCAGTGTTTCAACCGCAGAAAGATGTCAATAAAACAGCTTGTAAACAATGTCACATAATGCTACATTTACCTCAGGAAAGCTATTCATTGTTCAGAGCTTTATAGACAGCTAGAAAATGTTTTATTAAATATGCACTATATTGCATGTTCATTATATTTTTACTTAACCTGTTTTCTTCATTATTTAATGTATGCTTGAGCAAATGTCACGAAAAGATTCATTTTGGTTTCGGTGTTTTGGTCAAAATAATAATTTCGGCACATAGTTGTAGTTAACATGTTAACGCATTCAGTTCCTTTTAAAGGAAAGAGCAAAATAATACATTTATGTGGATGCTGCTCATGTCATAAATGTTCCTCATCTCACTTGCACAAAAATTGACAGATTTTATATTTCTCAAAAAGGAAAATGACACTAAACATAGTATATAACATTAAATTGAATTAAATAGTGCATAAAGGGGGTCAAATTTACCCAGCATGCTGTGATTATTTCAATATTTTATCCATGAATATTTCATTAATCCTTCAAAAATGTTTGTTTCTGATCTCATCAATGTGATTTGCATATTTTTTGGTCATATGTGGTGATGTTTTATTTTTATTTTTTATCATTACCCCAAGAATGCATAAAGGGGGTCATTTTTGGCCCGTATTCATTCCCAATGGAATTTAGAATCAACACTGTATTTCCGGATACCTAATATTTATTTTCTTTAAACTTTATGGATTACTTAAAAATCTGTTGTTACTTTTTTGCTCTGAACTGAACCAAGAATTTGCCTCACACACCAACCCTGTGTACGAATATTCATATTTCTGTATAGCAGGTGAAATGGCCTCAATAGGCCAAAAAAGTACCTGGATGACATAGTTGTTCTGTCATTATTCTGAAGTTCACATCCAATGGACACTTTACTATGCATAGGCCATGGGAGAGAAGTCATGAACTCACTGATTCACTAGCTCACATGTCAATGCTAACATGGCGGCGGACGTAGAACATTCAGATTGCACTCTACACACATTCAAGCTTGATGATATTTTATTCATACTGTACACATGCATACTTTTTTAACAGTCATGAAGTTCTCAAATGTAGAACCTACTCAGTATGTGATTTTAGATGCAGTAGATGAGTAGAGAAAGGGCCCAGTAAAGGATAGCTAAAGGCCCAAACAAAGAAAGAGGTGCAAACTCTACCCAAAAGTTATGCTTAGAAAGGTGCAAATGGTATGTGAAATGTTCTGTCTCTGCCTGCAAAGATCATTTTCAAATGGTCTGTGAGAAATGTGGGGAGTAAAGGTTCAAACTTGAATATACTCTAAAGTACGTAGATCTAAATTTGAGTTAAGTTTGTTTAGAAAGAGTACAAGTGCATTTTGAAAAGAATAAATTCCATCTTTTGTAATGCATATATATATATAAGGAATGTGGACAAATAAACATATTTGGTATATTAAACCGGGTGCATCAATTATTGTATTAAAGGTAGGGTAGGTCGTTTTTGGTCTAAAAAACTTTTTCCCAAATTTGTTTAAACTTTCTATATATATCAATGCATAATTAAAATGTAAGTACTCTGATAAAAAGAGTATAAAAATCGAGTGACTCTAGACCGTTTAATCTGCACTAAACACAGCTCATTATTTCCTTCCGGGACGAAACAATGGATTGGCTTAGACGACTGTCACTCTCTCGCAACCATGGCAACACCCCCGCTGCTACATGGGCTGCCCACATGCGCGCACTCGTTTGACTCGAGGAGGGCAAGAGACTAGTAAGAGACACAATTACATGCAAAACACGGCGTATATGTTATGAATCTTACACGAAATTCACCTTTATCACAGTGTAACTGATTGTAATGGGAAAACGTGTATCAATGCAACCTGTTTTTAGCTTTGCTTTATGTTACTAGCTCGTTAACGAATCAAACTCAATATATTTTAAACTTTACCAGTATCGATATGCTAGCTTGATAGTGAGTACTAACAGCCATGTTAGTTGTTTATATTCATAATGATAAAGTTAGGTATTTTATTACATGTGAGTCTGACATGATGTCACTACATGCACTGCGCTCCTCTCTGCTCGGCGCTGGTAAGCGCGTCCTCCAGCTGTGAGCTGTCGGCATCGCGCGTTCATGTGTTTTGGGGGCGTGGTTTTGGAAGGAGCCCAGAATGGAGGGGGTGGAAGTGAATGGAGATAAGTAGCTGTGTTTATTACAGCCCTGAGAGGACTACAGACACTCGATTTTTATACTCTCTTTTCCAGAGTACTTATATTTTAATTATGCATTGATATATATAGAAAGTTTAAACAAATTTGGCAAAAAGTTTAAAAAAAAATTCCTACCTACAATACCTTTAATAGAAAAAAAACCATTGATTCCATTTCGAATCACTTTGACCCCCTTTATGCATTCGTGTAGATTTTTAGGGTTGTGCATTCTAGGGTTTAACAATTAACAGTATTTATTGTATGCGTTAACATGTTTACCACAACAACCCTAAGTGTAAGTGATAGCTGACTCTGATTATTCTATACTTTTCTGGAAGACAAAGATTTAAAAAATCAGCATTTTTGTTTCTCAAAACATGATACAATATGACCCACACAATGACTGTCAGTGCGAAGTGTGGAACAGATGTTTCTCAGCTTCATTGGATGTCACTCTTTTCTTTGGTCATGCCCCAAATGACGCACATGTTGTTGACTTCTAGCCTTGTGCCCTTTCCTGTCATTAGTCCGAGAAGTCCCATTGATCATTTCATGATTCAGAAGGCCCTTAACGCCCATTGCCAAGCCCACCCTACAAAGTACTAACCGACGGTCTCTGTGACCTACTATTGCAAGAATTTAGGTGGAGGATGGCTGCAACAACTGAAGGTGGCTTTTGAGACAAGGCCTTTGTCGTTGATGTTGTTAAACCATTGTAATGAGATAGCGTAGCAATAAGACGTACCCATGTGGCTTGATATGCCAGTTTGTATGACAGCATCCTCGGCAGAACAGGCGTCACAGGTATGTGGTGGCCTCGCGGTTCTCGCGTTCTTTGGCCTGGGCCACAGCCACGTTGATGCACTGCAGCCATTCTTCCGCATGCTTCTCATCTTGAGCTTTCAGCACGTAGGTTTTGCTGTCGGTGAAGATCTCGAAGGCTCTGGGCAGCCCGCGGTCGCGCCTCTTCTTTGCAACCACCTTTACGCTTTGCACCTTGCTAAGTTCAATTGTGCTGTCGTCCAGCTCGTCCTTCTGTGAGCACAAGAGGGAAAAAGTGCCATCAATCAGAGCTAATGCTTTCCACTCTAATGTTCAGATAGGTTTGAAATGAATGGAACGCAGCCAGTGGTCTATAGCCATGTTTCTATCCACTTGTCAATCGAATTTTCTGAAGTTCGGTAAAAAACCTCATGCGAATAAAGCTGTGAAAGTGTGTTTCCATCAAACGGCTTTAAAGCGGATAAAAACCTGTGCGTAATGACGTCACATGCTGTTTTGCGATCAAATTGGTATATCGAATTGATTTGAGACATGTTAAGGTGTTTCCATTCATTTTCTCACCGAATTGCACAACATTCAAGCCAACATTTGCGAACAAAGTTTTACTAGGCAAAATGGATCGCACCATAATACCGTTTCCATCCGCGTTTATCGCATAAGCCGTATATCGATCAAGATAAAATCCGATGAGACCGATCGTATTTCATTTAGAGGTGGGCATAGATTAATTTTTTTAATCTAGATTAATATTGAAATTAATCTAGATTAATCTAGATTAAAATGGCTCATTTGAATTCTCCCGAAGGCATTCAGAATATGTGTGCTACCCAAATAATGACTAAAAGTAAGTCTTTGAGAATAGTTTGCCTCGCGTAGGGATGTGCATTTCTGCCAAAAATGCCATTCGAAAATCGAGGAGCAAAAGTCGAATATCGTTAAAAATAAAAAATAAAATAAAAACCGCAATGACAGAAAGGGAGGCCAATTTCATCTTTAGCGATTTGTCATCAAACAAACTGTTTATTAATTGAACAAGTAACATGTTTTCGTCCTTTTTTTTAACAGTAGGCTAACTGGAAGAAGAAAAAAAACAATACGCACGACAGTCCGTTTTTGCATCGCCAATGCTCGTTAGATCAAAAAATAATGTCATCATATGTCATAAGAATTTTATGTGAACCTGCCTTGTTACTACAATAGCCTCATTTTTAAACAAATTAGTTTCAATCAATGTAAACTATTCGTGTGATTATGCCACTGCGCAATACACGCGCAATACACACACAATGTGTATTACCTGAATGAAATGAAATCGAATGCATCGTCCTGTGGAATCATTCATTCACAGACAGCTTACGAAGATGTTCAACTAATAAAGATCTTCATCGCTGGCAAAAATATGATGCATTTGCAGATATGCATTCACTAGACTAGACTGTATCGGCCACTTCATCCAACGCTCTTGATGCTCTTAAATCTTCCTGTTTCGACTCCGAGTGTGAATTGAAAGCGCTTCAGACGATTCAGTGCGCGAGGAACTGAACAGATCAACTGATTCGCGAACCGATTTAGACAGATCATCTGACAACTTGTTATGATGAAGTCTTTGAACAGAATCGACTCAAAAGAGTGATTCATTTGTAAATGAGCATCGCTCATGCCCATACAAAGGACACAGCGCGCTTGGAATAAACTCATTTAACAACGTATTGCATTAAAATAAAGTAACGAGAGGAACGTCGCCCAACGTAACAAAGTAAAAGTACACCTTGTGTCCCTGACCCTGACAGGGAAATACCCTACTGCGCGATCTGTGACAGACAGTAGGCGCGGCGTCATACTACACATTAGAATTGCGCGAAAATATAACGATATTCGAAAAAGCTATTTATGATCCCAACCCAACTTTGATTAACGGCGATATTTTTTTTTATCGCCCGATAAGAGTCTCACGTTAACGCAGCACGTTAACGCCGATAACGGCCCAGCACTAATTTCATTTGAGTCGATATTCATGAAATTCAATCGAATTTTACTGTTTCCATAAGGCATTTTTCATTCGATATCACTTAATGCGGATAAAAACGTGTTGATGGAAACATTGCTTATGTCAGTGGTTTTCAATCCTGGTCCTGTATGTCTCTCTTATCTGACACTCAGCTCAGTTCATGGAGCCTGAGATGGTCTTATTATGGGGTGATATGAGGGTCTGTGGCTCCACCATTGGAAAAAGCGTAACGGCTAACTTAGATCACATGTGCCTTGATAAGCAATCACATTACAGCCTCGACATCATTCAATTTCATTCAGAGTTTAAAGAATGAAAAAAAACGTGCTTAAAATGTGTTTTTTAAGTAAAACTTTAAATTTGACATTATTACAAAGTGTTATAAGTGTGTGTGAGTGTGTTACACTCTCTTTAAGTACACTTAAGTGGCCTTTTATTTCATTAAAATTATATTATCTGCAAGTTCAGTTTTTTTTTTTATATATTTGTAAAAATATATTTTTCTTTTAATATTTCAAGTACACTACAAGTGCACATCCAATACAGTTTAGCACACTACTTTTTCACAAATTGTGGGTCGTTTAGATAAGACACAATCTTGGTTGGAGGCTCACAGCATGCATGGTCCCAATTCTCCTGCTCTATTTTTCTTCCTGTCCCACAACAAGTTTTTTAAGGGGTCATATAACACCTTTAAACTATTATTCTGAATTTAAAAAATACAAAAAGTTTACAAAAAGATGAATATAGGAATAACTGCACAAAGTTTGCCAAAAACGAAGCTTATTGTTGTTTGTGTACATGGGCACCATTAAAATGAAAGAAAAACAGCAGAATTGCAAGCAAATTTAAGGCATAATAAAAACAAGATACTGTGACAAGAGGCCAAATATTCCTCAAAATCATATTGAAAGCATTTGTGCCATGCCTGATAAACCAAAGATTTGTCAAGACTTTGCAATATGAAATGACTGTAGCGATGCATCCCACTTTTCCAGAGTAAAATTTACAATGAATCAATTTAATGTGCTTACAGCTCTGACAAAATAATTCATTTTTACTAAAAAGCTTTTGCTGGCATTTTACTGATCTTAGCTTTGCAGTCACTGTTTGTCATGGCTTTGGTTATGAATTCTCCTTTGCACAATATTAAATATGGCTCCAGGTTATATGGACCCATAGTAAATTGGGTCTTTGCTTTGTTTAAAAGCAATAGAGAGATTCTGAAAAGCCATTTTAGTTTTATTTAGTTAATGTAATTCCCTTCAGGAAAGACTTTGGTGAATCTCAAGATGAAGTCATGGGGTTTTAAAAGATAATGATCATCTTCCAGAAAGCAGGGCTCTAGAGTAATACAATATTTGGTAGCCATTGGCTCCAAAATGAGCCATTTAAAATACTTTTTTGTTGCTAGATTAAAGAATCGTTAGGAATAGATGGTTGTTCAGGAATACTGTTGATCATGTTCACATTTAGTAGTCCATGCAACTTATTCCAGATATTCTAAGTCTTTTGAAGCAATTCAATGGCTTTGTGTGAGAAACAGACATAAATTTAGGTCACAAGGTAAATTTAGCTTTAGGTAAATCTTTACCTGCCAGCGTCTTTGAAAACTTACCAACCACCGGCAGCATTTTTGATCATTTTCACAAAAGTTTCATGGCCCCCAGAATAATCTGTTGTATGAATATCTGAACACGCAATATATCAAAAAAGAAAAAGATAGAACAGAGCCTCTGACTTTAAAGTGCCCCTATTATGCTATTTTAAAGTTTCCTAATGTTGTTTTGGAATCTCCTACAACAGGTTTACATGCATCAAAGGTAAAAAAAAAAACGTTCATTTTCTCATAATATACATTTGCACATCACAACGACTCGTCAGATGAATCAATCTCTCTAAATCCCTCCTTTCCGCAAGCTACTCTGCTCTGATTGGCCAGACAGCTCAGTCCGTTGTGATTGGTCTACCGCGTACAGCGTGCGTATCGAAAACAAAAACGCCCATTGCCATAACAACATCAGCTCTGCTTGTCCTGAGGCTTCCTACACCGTAAACTAAACACAGTAAAGGGCCTTGCACACTGAGTCCGAAATTCGCGTCCGAAAATTTCACACGTTAAAAAATGATACGAAAATTTCGGACTCAGTGTGCAAGGGCCTTAAAGGGTTAGTTCATCCCAAAATGAAATTTCTGTCAGTAATTACTCACCCTCATGTTGTTCCAACCCCGTAAGACTTTCGTTCATCTTCGGAACACAAATTAAGATATTTTTTATATCTTAGTCCAAGTGACTACAGTGGCTCAATCTTAAGTTTATCAAGCGACGAGAATACTTTTTGTGCGCAAAAAACAAACAAAAATAACGACTTTACTCAACAATTAATTTCCTTCTCTGTGGGCCGTGAGATTTCACGTAGTGATTTTTCGCAAAGACTATCCCAGATCGTATTTAGAATGATTATCAAAACATAGATCGAGTCCATCAACACCCCCAAAGCTTGCACAGTCCTATAGCCTACCTCGTCCTGGATCAACATTTCATTCAGTAACTTTAGGGAGTTTTGATTTATATGCCATTTAATGTTGACGCATTATTTTACATATGCATCTGCTTACATATGCTATCCATAGACAGTAAAAGAAATGGACACAGCGACCCCATAGATTTCAACAGAGAAAATTGAAGCCCATTAGAAGCACTCACTTCCTGATGGCTGAGCGAACTGCGCAGGCTCAAAGTGAGCTTGACGACGTAGATGTGACGAGAGCAACCGTTCTGATCTTCTAGTAGCTGTGCCGAGACAAATCTGAATTAAAATCTGAAACAAATCTGTTGCTGAAATATTTTGTCCCTCTGCTTTTATGGACTTTATGGACCACACCTGTCACCAATTTCCCCCACGGCCATATAAGCAGCATGAGGCTAAACAACGTGGAGACTGGTGTCTTGAATTCTGAGAACTAACGTGTCGTCTCTTGTTCTTTCCAGAAACCAGCGTGTGACCGAGCTAGACCTGACTCGAGCACAGCACTGACTCACCGCACCAAGGAAATCTCTCACAGAGAGCACCGCACCACCTCAGCAAGCCACTCTTCACTCTTCACCTACCACTTGTTAATGAATACACCCTCCGAGGTAATTAATTTGAACTCTCCTCGTCGTGTGATACTTCCAGCCCGTCACAACAGTAAAAGATTGCCTACGAGCTTCTCCTTCTGTCTATACGGTAATTTCTCTACTGTGTGACAGAGAGTCCCATGGTATTGACGCAATCAAAAAAAAAAACGGCCCTAACGTAAGATCCAAAGTAATGGAGCCTTTTATACATTGTCGTGTTTCTTTAGAAATAAATAATGGACAAATGGAGTCTTTGGACGCCTCAGATGTAAAGTTATTCGCTGTCAAAGTAACGCCAAAATGAATGGGAGTCAATGGAATGCTAACAGCAGGTGATGGTCTGCTACAATGAGGGTCCCCAAGCGAAGCTTCTGTTTCTGGCTGGTGGATTACCCCCTTGCTTGTTTCTGGTTCTTCTCAAGAGTTTTGATCAGGAGATTCAGGCTACGTCCACATTAATCTGGATACATTTGAAAACGGCGTTTTCATTTAAAAACGCTCTCCGTCCACACTAGCGTTTTCAGGCGTTTTCGGACGTTTCAGTGTGGATGAGATACTTCTAAATTCACCTTACTGCGCATGCGTGAAACCTCACAAAAGCTCACCGAGATGATACAGATGGAAAAATAAATAATAAAGTTACCGCGCAATTCTTCTAACCGGATAATTTTATTTAGCAAAATATCTCACCATCACTGATGCGTCCAGGTCACACTCAGTCACCATATATGGTCTAAAACGCAACCGCTCTCATGTTTTGCCGCAGGACAGCAAATGTGAGTACATTTTCTGTCATCTGTGCAGGACTGTGATATGAAGAGTGTGCAAAGTAACATATTTTAGCAACAGTGTGAAAGTCAATAGCACATAACAGGCACAATACCGGTAAACATGAATATCTATTGGTACAACATGGATCACATGACTAAACTTAAGTCATCGTTTTCAAATACCTCCGGCTTCACAGTCCACACTACAACGCGAAAACGGCGTTTTCAAATTTATCCACTTTGGAGAGCGTTTTCCAAAAGCTACGTTTTCATTGACTTAAAACGGCGTCTCAGTGTGGACGGAAGGCCAAACCGGAGAGAAAAATATACGTATATTCAAACGAAAACGTATTAGTGTGGACATGGCCTCAGTACTCTTTCAGAAGATGCGTAATAGTGCCCCCTAGCGTATAAAAGTGAAAACACGGAAAGACAGAAAATTCCGTCAATGGCAGGGAAGAGTTCTCAAAAATGATGGAAATTTCCGTCCCTGGCGGGGAAAGAGTTAATTGGCATTGCTTTTAGTTGTTGTAATGTTTTTCAAATTTGCTGCTTTTTGATCAGTCACATGACACGAGAAGAAACGGCATTTGGCATCAATGATGTTGGTCTTGATGAAACATCTAAAGATGACATAAAAACCAAGACAGCGCTAACAACTTAAGTTTTGCCTTTCTCACACAGGGTCATCAGACTTTTGAAGATCTGGAACATACCGCAAAAATTGTGTGGACTATGTTTGTGATCTTTTGTCCTTTAAGCATGACAGTATAAATCATCAGCTTTCCTTTTTTTGGAAAACAGAAGCTGCCTAATATCTTATTTTGTGTTCCATTGAAGAAACAAAATACGTCGGACGATATAAGGCTGAGTAAATGATTATTACAAAATTGTCATTTTTGTATGATCAGTTGATGGTAAGAAATGCATAAATTATACAATCTGATGTCTTGTGAATGGGACACTTACTGATTTTCCTCTTCTGAAAAGAAGCTGGTTGCCGGCAAGCGTGAAATAACGTGTTTTCCACCTTTTGATGAACTTCCAGCGTACCTGTTTCTCCTTCAGCTTCCCTTCAATGAGTGGCTGGCCATCCTGGTTAACGACTGAGCAGAAAGAGTCAAAATGAAAAAGAGAATGTTAAAGTAAGGGAAGCAACTCTGTCTCACATCATTAGAAAGATTTCATGAGAAGGTTGTATGGACTAATGATGCTTTTATGATGCTTTTTGTCAGCCCTCGGTCCTGCCTGCTTTCATTGTATGGAAAAGAGCACCATATACACTCTTCAAAATATCTTCTTTTGTGCTCTACGGAAAAAAAGTCAGTCAAAATTGATTTAAAAAGTAAACAATTAATGAATTATTTTGGTGAACTAGAGCCATGTCTGCCCATAGTCACTTTGAATGCAACACCAAACAATACTCTACACTCACAGAGCCATCCTCTTCTGGACATACGCCATGCTTAACTATTTATAATGGGAAAAGTTTTCTCATTAGACGGACAAAGGAGCACTGCTCAGTGTTTATCACCACATTGCAATATCTGGTGTGGTTTCAGACATGGTGAATATTGTGTCTCCTGCCTGTGTTTGCTAGGTCTGTCCGAACTACACAAAGCGTTTCACAGATCTCTCTCATGGGTCTATTTGAGTTAAACAGGAAGCTGTGTTATAGCCCTTCCAGGATGGTACAAAGCAGCCCATTGTCTGAGTTTTCCTTTTTTCAGCAAGGAAAACAGATGAGAATCTGCAGCGCTTCAGATTAAGCAAGACTGATATCTGATAATCACCAAACTATAATCCCAAATGGCAGAAGTTAAGCGCATGGTGTATTAGAGAACACTGAAGTAATGATTTACTTTGGGGTAAAAAACACAGCCCTTGATTGACGCAATTTCCTAGAAAACAAAAAATGGCGCTAGTAATTGCGTTAGTATAATAATTTCATTCTGGGATATAAAATGCACTTTCCATGAATAAGGCACAAAATAAGGCAAAATTAAAGTCATTTTCTTGTTCTTTTTTCAACAAATGGTTAGTGAAAGGAGGTGTTTAACACTCAGAAAATGTTGATTGTTTACCTCAAGGAAGTTAAGCTAGATTTTATATGAGCTGCTATAAATACATACTGTGACTGTGTTGCATAAATATGTCAGTTAAATCAGTAAAAAAAAAAAACAACACGTTGAATATCAGTTCAACAGATTATTTCAAAACGATGATGCATTGTGTGTTGAATGCACTTGAGAAGGTCAAGATCTCAAAGTGGGACAGCCCGAAATCATCATTTCAAATAGGTTAAACAGGGATTTGATTCTAAAATTAGCTACTTTTATTGACAAGTTATTGTTTGTTTGTTTTTTCATTGATATAAATAGTAGTTTTGATGGAATTGGATGGAATTATACCTTCAAAGCAGTAAAACATTAAAATCATGTCGACACCGATGTACTTTATTTTAGGAAAGTGCTAAAACATTTCAAATGTTTTCACGTTGGTAGGCTATTTCTGGTAAACCACATAAAAATGTTTTTAAAGAACAAAAAACGGGCAGAACAATTGAAAAAGCTTTGGAAGAGATAATGCTTGTTCTGGTTGTTTCAACCCAAAACCTTTTGCAGATGTCAGTATTACAATGCTGGTAAATGTTGATAATTGAATTCGTGTGGGTTTATCCCATGAGCAACATAATAATTCTCTATTATGAATTATTTTTCATTTAATTTGCTTTTATACTCTCTCAGCTTTTCTCAAATGCATGAATCAAAGCACTAGAACGTGTATGCGAGTACATGAGCAAAACAAATATAAAATGTATGCTTTGTAAATCTATACAATATTAAAAGCATCTGTGCTTCATTCTGCATGACATTTGTTTGCCTAAATTGATTTCTGTTCTGTTGATTTTAATGTGTATATGAAAATGAGTTTGTGGTCATAAAAGTGAAACACACACTAATGATAAGAGCAGAGGCCAAAACCGATGCTCAGCAAGCCCACAGACAGACAGACTACAATTGTTTGAAATGATTTTGGCCTTTCTGAAGTTACACAATATCCTAAATCATAGTAGCTGTAAAGGATCCACTGAAGGCAAGTTTGAAGAGAACCCAAATGCAGTTTATTCACATAACAAAATCCAAGATCAAACATAAAACAAAAGCATGACGTGGCAGGGACTCAAAACTTAAACATAAACATAACGCTTACCAACAGAGGTTACAGTTAACAATACTTGACAAAGACACATGGCAAACATGAGGGCTTAAATACACACAAGACTCATGACAAGACAAGGGACACCTGTGAACAACGAAACCATGAACCAATGACAACATGACACATCAGACAAGGGAACACATGGCAGGATCACATGACTAACAAGGAATCACATGACAAACATGGAACATGACAGTAGCCTTTTGAGACGCACATCAAATGTGTACTCCCATCATAAGCGAAGTACAAACCTGTAGTAAATAGTCTATTATATTAATCTGGATGCAGCCCATCTTTGAAAACCTGGATTATGGCAGTCCCAATGCACAGGTAGTACAGAAAGCAACAAAAGCCAATGGGAGAAGAGTAAGACATTTTGAGTGCTATGTTACCAATACATCAATAAAATATTTCGAGGTAAGAAGTGTTTATTCCAATTCTGCTACAACTGTAAATTCATGCAATGAGGATATTGCTAGTCTCTGTGGGGAAAGAAAGGTCAGTGTTTATTTTTCTCCTGGTTGGCGTATGTTATAGATTTTTTGCTGGGCTTTGGCCAACGCTGTGCTCTTCTGTTGATTTAGAGCAGCTCTGATAGTCAGACAAGATTCCAGCAACCCCTGCTGAGAGTGTGGATTCACTTCCATAGAATTTACAGGACAGAATTCACATATTTAGCAAAGTTGGAGTATGTTCAACACCACGTCGAAAATAAAACATAGAATAAAGGTTTAGGAGTTGGGGTTTTAAAAGGGGAAATGTCACTATATGTTCATGAGGTTTAAATGATTTGAGTTCAAAATATTACAAAATAAGATAAACAATGTTTCAATCATTAGAAATGTAATTCTGTTTAGTTTTTTCCATTATGAACTTCATTTAAAGTTGTTGTTTAATTTTTTAATTGATCCTTTATTTAACCAGGAGAGAAGATTAAAAATCTGTTACAGGAGTGTCCTGGCCAAGATAGACGGCCCAAATATACAAATACACATATAACAAACAACAGCACATAATACAATATCATTAAAAGTACAGCCTTAGAAGCATTTGCAAATCACTAAATCTTTCTCTAGTGCATGCATGCGTGTTTTAAAATGACTAAAAGACACCAAATGATTTAGCCTCAATTTCATTTGAAGAGGGTTCCAGTCTGAAGGGGCAGCGTATTTAAAGTCAGTTTTACCTGGATTAGTTCTAGCAGGAGGTAAATAGAGATTATAACAAGATTGTGAACACAATAAATTTTTACCAACTGCTTTTTGTTGGATCAAACAACAGAGATAAGGTGGTAAACCCCCCAAATTGCTTTGTATATCATTAAGTACCAATGCATTTCCCTTAGTTCCTAAGTTAATAAAAGTTATAGAAAAAAATTATTAAATATTTTGGTCACACTTTAGATCCAATTCTCACTATTAATATTTATTAACTACGACTTTGCCTTAATAAACTCCTAATTACTGCTCATTAATAGTTAGTAGGTAGTTGTTTTAGGTATTGGGTAAGATTAAGGGAAGTAGAATATGGTCATGCAGAATAAGGCATTAATATGTGCTTTATAAGAACTAATAAACAGTCAATATCCTAGTAATATGCATGCTAAGGAACTAGAAATAGTAAGAATTGAACAATAATACTATAGTGTTACCCATATTTTCAAACAAAATATTCCATAGGCTAATAAAATATTTAAGCATAACACACACACTTTTAAGTGTGGACACACTTAGTTGATTTTTTTTTTTTTCATGATTTTAAAAATCATCCATTCTTTTTTATGCTTAAATGCTTAACAAGTGAGAAAAGCAACCAACAGCCAGGATGCACCACATGAAGTTTCAGCAGTGAGAAAAGCAGCATGGTAGTTATAAACCTGTAGCACTGCGTCTCCTTGTTTAAATTCCCTCATTAATGTCTGAACCAAACTCCAAGCGATGGAATGCTTTCAAACACTACCGTGCTTTATGAGCTGACGACACACAAGACTTCTTCAGACCATAACACTGCCAGGGTAGGTGCTGCCTGTCCAAGCTTTGCTTCCCCGAGTCCTTATTTCTGCAAACATTCACCTCCCTCTATTAAAAATCATTACAGCGCTCTGCTAATGGAAACTGTCCCACACTCCAAACAAGGAGAAAGGAGGTAGAATGTGTGCTACAAACACTCGTTTAATGAGCGGCGCTTGCTATTGAGGTTTCAATGAGTCTTTATTGCCACCTTGGCTGCTGGATGGTGGTATGTAAAAACATTTCCTGTCTCATTAAACTGTCTTGTCGTGGCAAAAAAAATTGATTTCTGAGGTAAAGTGACGAATATTTCATGTACCGTAGCAATCCAATACTCCACCAAAAGCAGCAGTGAACAATTTTTCAGAATTTAGATTTTTTGTTGTTGTACGAAAAGAAAGACTCAAAGCAGAGAAATACTGTCTATTGAGCATAAAATATAAAATAAAATAAAATATGATAAAAATATGGTGAATCAGTTCTGTCAATTTTCTGGGATGAGAAGTTGTAACATTACCAGTAAATTACCGTTTGATGCAATTGTAAACATGATGCTATTGTATGATGTTACTGTAAACAACACAGTGTTATTGTGCGTTATTTCCATCAGACCTTCATAATTGCCGCAAAGCTTGGCATCACAGTTTTCCAATATTTTGGGGCTAATGTGAATGGTAATGGTAAACATTGCTTGTGTGAACAGCATATACAGTATGATGTATTTACCCGAAAAGTCGATATGGCAACTTTACAGTAATTTAGCGAGTTTAATGTGGAAAAGCGGCTTTTGTTTGATAAAGCTATAAGCCATTAATTTGACCACAGGTAAAGGGTCATCTTAGGCACACAATAAAAAAATCAAGCATAGCGTCAGT